TTGGGTCCTTCTACTTCCACTCCTGCCTGCACACAGCCCTAACCTGACATGTTGTTGTCCTGGTTTAAGGCCAGTGCCAAAACTATGTGATGTGTAAATTTGCACTCTTTATGTTAAATATTTGATTAACTAGTGTTCATTTTAAAGTGATTCTGCGTTTCCTTTAACAGAGTTGCTAAAATCGAAACACTGTTTATAATCTAGATGTTGAAGCTGCCACATGTGCTGCTGCTGCTGTGACGTCTGCCAGCGTCAGAAATGTGCAGCAACAAGCTCGTCCTGCTGTCGGGAGGAGAGCGAAGCTTTTTATTCTTATCATCATTTAAACTTTTTCCCCAGAGCGATGACTTTCTTATATTAACCCTCAGAAATCTGACGTCTGGGGTCTTAACATTAAATCATCAAATTATTATTTCACATTTTTTCTTCATATTGAACTTTATTTCAGTTTAGAAATTTTTTAAATTATGAATCTAGATCATCTTTTTTATGATTGTGTTGATTTGAATTTCTAAATCATAATTTTAAATTTAATTGTAACTGACGCTTTGATCTGCACTTTGAATTTGAGTTTTGACCCAGAACATAAACTTCTGTAAAACTGTGATTTTCACAGAGTTTTTGCAGATTGCTGAACCTCGGCTCTTCTTTACTTCTGAAAAACTCTAAGATGCTCTTTTCAGACCCGATCATGTGACTGACCTGCTGATAATGAACCTGCTGAGCTGCTGAACGTTCCCAGCGTTGGGAATGCATTTCTATTTTCAGTTAGTTTATTGTCTGCTCTTTGTTTCCTGACCTGATTAAGCTTTGTGTTCCAGATTGACTGGATGTTTTCAGGTGCAGCGATGTTCCAGTCTGCAGGGCGTTCCTGACGAGTATTTTTACTTCTTGCTGATGATCGCGTGAAACTGTCACTTAACAAAAGAGAAACCTGTTTCTCTGCAGAGCAGTTGATGGGTGTTTCTGTCACAAAGTGGCAGCTGAAGAAACTCCTCGCTAAGTTTACTTCAAGATTAACTGAGTTTAAACAATAAAGAAACATATAGCAGGAAAAACAGAAACGACTAGAACCATTTGATACTGCCAGTCACAATCTGTTTATGAAACTCACGTTTTCATCTTTCTGAAGAAGCTCTTATGATTTAATCATAACAGTGTATACCGAAGATCTGCTGTGCTTGAATCCTCCGTAGGAGTCCCACAAGGCTCCATGCTTGGGCCACTTTTGCTGCACTGTGAAGATCTACACAACACACGTAGAAAAGTTAATATAGACCAAATGTTTCCAGACTACTTGTTTCTGCTGTATAAGGACTAGACTCACATCTCTGTGTCCTTACAGTGGATGGTGGGATGCAAACACTGTCCCTTCTTATGTAGATGCACTCACAGCTACTTTTTTCTCTAATTCAAATGTTATTTGTGAAGAAGTTCATGAAGTCATTACTAGTTAACGTTAAAGGGAT